TCAGGATGCTTTCTAAGCTTCCGAAAAAGGCCTCAAGAAGGTAGCAAGGCAAGAAAATGTGTTTTCCCCCATTGAACTCTTAATAAACTTGACGTCCAACATGGCGGCCAATTTACTGTGTGGGTTGGATATTCGGTACTTAAAAGCTATGAATATACTTAGCACGCATATCCTCTATTTTGGCCACATTGATAAAGTTACATTTTCGCTAACATGACCTCTTCTATTGGTCCTAGCATAGTTAATACGTACATAAATTTATTGTCCAAGTATAAAAGTGTTTTAAAGACAGACTATCCATGAATGATTGTCCTTTACATGGATATTTATGGTCCTGTCGGGTCCGCATCAGTCCGTCCGTCCGTCCGTCCTTTTTCGGGCGGGGCGGGGCGGGTCCGTCCGTCCGTCCGCTTTTGAGACCCTACCCAAAAGGGTAGACCGTGTGCGTCCTGACTCTCCGTCTTTCGCGAGGGTCAGGCCCCGCCTGACTAGACCAGGGCCAACTGAACCACCTACCAATGTGTTCTGGAAATCAGTCAATCCAGTCTACATAGAAAAAATACAAAAATAATTAGAAACTATATGGCAGCTAAATTAACAAAAAATGCAATCTAGGCTGTTAGCTCTTTAAATTAAATGTTTCACAGGAAGTTGTAATTTTTTTAACACCTTGTTCACACCTTGAGGTGTGAACAAGAACAGGAAATAAACAATTTTTTGTGTGTGATTATTTTTTTAAATTGACACATTACAAAGCTCTGATGTACATAGTCATTTCTAGCAAGTGTACCAAAAATTATAACAATTAAATTCTTTTTTCTAAATAATAATAATGCAAAGTATTAAAAGCAACATCATAGCAATAACATAGGAAAATAAAAATAGAAGGAACACAATAATAATTAGCATAAATAATAATAATTATTATTATTATTAATAAAATCAAATATTTGTGTTGCATGAATAAGAAAAAGTGTACATATAAAAAAAGACATTAATTTCATTTGTGTTCTTCCTTC